TCAAGACATGGCTTTTTCAGCAAGCGGGACTGACCTAGGGTGAATTTTAAATAGGGATAATTTTTAATGATTTTTAATAAGAGACACAGCTACAAATATTTGGTTTTAATTGGCTTTTATTGGGGAAATGTGCTATGTTGTTTTAATATGCTGTGAGCCGCCCTGAGTCCCGTGGGGAGAAGGGCGGCATATAAGTCAAAATATAAATAAATAAATATAAATAAATACTGGAGGATCAATTTTTGCCTGAATATTAGCAAAAGCTTATTGACAGTTCATTTGACAGAGAAGTGAGCAATTATCTAGTGGCTCTAACAGAATAACAGGAAGGGGGGACCTTGGAGGTCTTCTAGTCCAACCCCTTGCTCAAGCAGGAGACCCTGTAACATTTCAGACAAATAGCTGTCCGATCACTTCATAAAAACCTCCAGTGATGGGCACCCACAATTTCTGGAGGCAAGTCGTTCCACTGGTTAATTTTTTTCACTCTCAGGAAATTTCTTACTTCTAGGTTGGATCACTCTTTGATGAGTTTCCATTTGTTACTTTCTTGTCCTGTCCTGTCATGCTCTGGAAAATAGGCTGACCTCCTCTTCTTTGTGGCAGCCTCTCAGATATTGGAACACTGCTATCATGGCACTTCCTCGTCCTTCTCTTCGTTAGACTAATCATACCCAATTCCAGCAACGGTTCTTCATATGTTTTAGCCTCCAATCCCGTAATCATCTATGTTGCTCTTCTCTGCACTTTTTCTTTTTTTTTTTTTAGAAAATTTTTATTGGTTTTCTAGTTTTACATTTGAATATTTGAAAAGCAACATGGCAGCTGAGTTGTTCAATAATTCAATAACATACAAATATCTTTAGTACAGATCTCAAACTATTACATTAAATGTTTCCTCTCTTTTCCCCTTAGTATTTACTGTCTCATCTTTAAGTTAATATAATTCTTATTATATCGATTAAATCAAAAATAACTTTCTTACATTTATCAATAATTTTTAATTTATACATATCCTAGTTGTATTAATATTCAGTCTTTTTAGACAATGTCCTGACTAATTTTTCCCAATTTTTAGATTTCCCATTAATATTTATATGTAATGTTTCATATTTATAATTTCCAAGTTTTAAATAACCCCAATTCCCTTTATCTCAATTCATCACATAATCTAAGGTTCAAAATACACATCTTATCTATTTGGGTTCTCACCATCTTACATCAACTAATTAGTTATACAATATAATATTCTTATTTTCTGGTAGTTTCTAGGTATCTTAAATTGGGTAACCAAAATTCCTCCTATTTCAACCTTTAATACTTCCTGTCTTTTTCTCTTAATATCTACTATCTCGTATTTAAGCTAATAATTCTTATTATTACTGTTACATAAAAACATATTGCATTCATCGATTAATTTTTAGCTTATGTATACCTTAATTACCTTTACATTTAACCTTTATGAGCAAATCAATGTTCAAATTTAACTATTAATATTTATACTTCTAAGTTATAAATGGCCAAAGTTTTCTTTATCTCATCTCATAACAGTAACCAGTATTCAAAATACACATCTTATCTATTTGAATATATTCTATTTTAATTCTCATGAATAAGTCAAAACCCCAATTTTCTTCAGTCTTATTCTGGCTTGCTTTCTTTGCCAAATCGTCTTCCATGTCCGTGCTTTTGAGTCATCAAACAAATCTCCCTGTGTTGTTGTATAGATTATTTCACATAGATTATTTTTTTAAGAGGACCAACAAATCATCTCTCTATTTTTCCATCTCGACGTAGTTGTCCTAGACTGTTTATCTTCTCTTCAATCTGTTCTTCTTCTTGATCCTCAGTTTCCTTCTGATTTATGTAGAAAGTCTTTTCCTTTTTCCATATTGTCAGTCCTTTTTCTGGGTTTTCCATTGATCGTATTTGTTGATCAGTTGAATCTTCTGTCATATCTTTAATTGTTCCACCTTTTCTGCTATATTCTGCATAGTTGATTTTTTAATTATAATCAAAGTCTGAGTTCGTGTATCTGGGCTGACATCCTGTTCTTTTCGGTAACCTCTTATTTCATCAGTGGCTGTAAGAATAGTTTGATGAATTACTTTCAACATAGAGAGAATCTGTTCCTGGTTTTCATCCATATTCTCTTAGTAGAGTATTAAGTTAAGGGCTTTACAATCAGAGAATGCAAAAAGAAAGATTTTGTCACTGACTGAGGAACACAGCTGGGCTTTTCTCAGCTAATGTCTCAAGGTTACATAAACCTTACCTATTGTCTGGACTGCTGGCCAAGTCTCTTTTTAGCAATAACAAATTGTAGTGTCAGGTTTAGCCACAAGATGTCGCCCCTGCCATTTAAAGTTTTTTTTTAAATTCCAAAGTTTTTATAATCTTTTTGATTTTGCTTCTTTCTTATAAGTAAAAACCCCAGTCTTCAGTAAGCATAGAAAATCTTTTAGTCCACAAACTTTAAAAAATAGAATTCCAATTTGAATCAAGTTATTCTTTCAATGTTTTAAACTCCCCTCGATAGTCAGTCGCCACTGTTTCTGGAGGAAGGGGTAAAAATCTCCCTTCCCTCTCCACAGGGGGGAAAGTACTTTAGGCAGCTTATGCAGGTAAAGAAAATAGTTAGGATTTAAGAGAGATAGATCTCACCCAGTCTCATCCGTGCTGCTTTAAAATTGCCTGGTGGTAAGTGTGACTTTGGCTGTCTGCAGCCTAGTGACGAGCCATATTGCTATGGCCGGTCTTTCGTCTGCCAGTTTGGAGGGCTGCCCTGGATCAAGCAGAAGGGCTACTGCCCTCCTGCGATCCAACGGGGATCCCCTCCTTGCTGGTCACCCCTACAGGGCAACTTTCAATCCTTTCCAGGGTCCCCCAGCGAAGCAAAAATGGGCGCAGAAGACAGAGTTCGCCTTCCAGATGTCCATGGCAGCTGCCTTGGCAAACCAGAAGTCTTCTCTGCACTCTTTCTAAAGTCTCAACATTTTTTTATATCACAGAGACCAAAACTGGATGCAATATTCCAAGTGTGGTTTTACCAAGGCTTTATAAATTGGTATTGACATTTCATGCATCTTTCATGCAAAAAGGAATTTTGAAATTCACAGATATGGTGACATATTTCTCAACCATGAGAATGGACGACTGGGCTCCCGGTACAAGAAGGCCGTTTATAGGGAATACACAGATGGGACATTCAAGACCCTGAAGAACAGAACAGATGCTGAGCAACACCTGGGGATATTAGGTAACCCACTGAAACTTTTGAGTGTGATTTTCATTCCAGCTACTAGAATCTTAAACTCTTTCTGTGCATTGTTTTCAAGAGGGCGTCTTTTTCATCCACTCCTGTTAAGCTTTGCAGCTTCTCAACCAAGAGATTTCCATTCTAGAAATGAGGATTCTCTTTGAAATACAGATAGAATGAACAATGATTTGTCCAGGATGGAATAAGGACTCCTGCTTTGGGCAACTATATGTGGCTTTCAGGGAGACAGAAATAACTGGGGGGGAGGGGAGGTCAAGATAGTCCTTGGCCTACGACCATTCAGCAGCCATAAAAAGTTACGATGGCATGAAACAAATTGTAGTCACAACAACACTTTGGAGTTCCCAGGAGTCCTGCAGTCAAATGATTGCAATCTGGGCACCAGCACCCATTTGCACTTATGACCGACTGCAGGGCCCCACAATCACATGATTGCTACTTGCAATCTTCCCTGCTGACTTACCCAGAAAGTGAAAGGGGAAGCTGACACCGAAGGTCTCAAGTCACTGACTTAAGTCTCTCCCACCCGCACCACCACTACCCCCTTTCTGCGCTTGTGCCATACCTGCCACTTGGCCACCCTTGAGTGCCCTTCCTGGCTTGGACAGTCTTTGGGACAGAGGTTCTGATCCCAATTGCCATTGTAAGTCAAGGACCACTGGTAAAGGGTTCACACCATTTGCACTGAGAAAGCACTTCAGGTTATTTCAAAGCTTCTCTCTGCTTCCCCCCTCCTTTCCAAAACCCAAAAAGCTTCTGCATTGACCTCATGCTTGAAGGAAAGTTGAGCAAATTGGTGTTGGTAGAGAAGTGCCCATGACACAATGTTTGACAGCACATTGGATCCTTTGGAGACGTCCCTCCAAGCTTTGGGGAAGTGTGATGGACTTTCTGGCTTCTCTGGCTCAGCTCATCAAAGCTTGGGAAGAACAGGCCAGAGAAAGTCTGGTTAGAATCTTAAGGCTGGAAGGGATCTTGAAGGTCTTATAATCCAACTCTCCGCCCAAAGCAGGATTCCTGATACTATCCTAGACAAATGGTTGTCCAATCTTTTCTTGAAAGCCTCTAGTAATGGAGCACCCACAACACTGTTCCACTGATTCATCATTCTCCCAAATTTCTCCTTAGCGCCAGGTTGAATCTTCCTCTGACAAGCTTCCACCTCTTGCTTCTTGCACTGCCTTCAGGTTCTTTGGAGAGTAAACTGATGCCCTGAATTGGTCAGGAAGCCAAGTCTAGTGGCACAAAGCAAAGCAAGCTGGCTCCTTCTCTCAGAAGCAAAGTGGTTATGCTGCTCTCTGAAGCCACTTGGAGGGGGCTACACATTGTTGTTCACCAGAAGAACCACCACCACCCCCGCTGAAATTTTGCAAAAGCCGAGTCACTGTTCTTTTGCTTTGTCCTTCCTGCCTCCAGGTCCCTTTATTTGGGCAGAAGTGGGAGATGTGCTGAACGTAGTTTTTAGGAACAAGGCCATGCGGCCTTACTCCATTCATGCCCACGGAGTCCTGGAAAAGAACAAGGACTCCAAGACAGCAGTGCCTGGTGAGTCTTGCCAACATGTTCTCTGTGGCAACCTATATGTTGTGTTTGTGTATCTGTGTATTAAAAAGTTCACAACTGCACCATCTGTCCTACCTTCCCTAAGACTAAAAGGCCTTAAAAATATGAATTGTCAATGTAGAGCTAAACTGTAGCTTCTGGATGGACAGGGTGGTGAATTCGGAAATTCCTGGTAAGAAAGATGCTAATATGTGGGCAATTTGGAAATAAACCTATGTTTGGTTATCAATGACATATACTCGCAGATACAGAACTTTTATTATACACATTAGAAAACTACAACATTACATTACTTTTTGACACTCAAATTGAGGCACTTGTCATAATGTTTTACAAGGTTTGAAATTCCTCGTAGTAGAGGTGTGTGTGATCAAAAACATCCCAACGGAACTTTTCAATGCTTCTAAGTTTTTGTGATCAGTCCACACTTCGAAAGGCACCTTGCTCCCCTCCAGGTAGTGCCGCCAATTTAACAGAGCCCAATGAATTGCAAAGGCTTCCTTCTCCCACACTGCCCATCATCTTTCACAGTCGGAGAACTTTTTCGAAGTGTAGGCACAGGGCTGCAGGACCCTCTCATGATTCTTTTGCAATAGTACAGCTCGATGGCCACGTCCGTGGCATCGGCTTGAATCACAAAGGGCTTCCCCAGGCAGGGATGCTTTAGGATCGGATTGGCCGCAAACAATCTTTTCAAGTTCTCAAAAGCAGTTTGACAGCTCATAGTCCATTGTAGCGGCTGGCCCAGTTGTGGCTTCCCCCCATCTTTGCCAGTTTTTAACAAGTCCATGAGAGGCAAGGCAATTTTGGCAAATGTGGGGATGAATTGACGGTAAAAGTTTGCAAACCCTAGAAAGCTTTGAAGTTGTTAGCGAGTTTTAGGGGGTTGCCATTTGATTACGGTTTTCACTTTCACAGGATCCATCTCAATGCCCTCAGAGGAGATACTGTAGCCCAGGTAATCCATCCGAGTCTGGTGGAATTCACATTTTGATAGCTTAACATATAGTTTGGCGTGCAGCAATTTCTTCCAACACTTCTCGCACTAATTTTACACGGTCAGCCATATTCTTGCTGTATATCAACATGTCATCAAGATACACTAAGACCCCTTTATATAAATGATCGTGTAGCACCTGGTTGATCAGCTGCATAAAGATGGCTGTAGCCCCTTGCAGTCCAAATGGCATGACTTTGAACTGATAGCTGCCCATAGGACAGTTAAAAGCGGTCTTCCATTCATCTCCCTCTTTTATTCTCACCCGGTAATAGGCTTCTCTCAGGTCTAACTTAGTGAAGATCCGCCCTTTCGCCAGATGAGTCAATAGGTCCTTCAGGACGGGGAGGGGTACTTGTTTTCTGTGCTCACAGCGTTTAACCCATTATAATCTATGCAGAGACGAAGCGACCTGTCCTTTGAACAACACCGGAGCCCCCACCTGGGATTTAGGATGAAACGCCTTACTAGGTTTTTGTTTACATACTGTTGCATTTCCTCCATTTTGAGGGGGGGGGCATAGTGTACATTTTCGGTCTCGGTCTCCCGGTAATAGTTCAATGGCACAGTCATTTGCTCGATGAGGAGGCAGGACGTCACACTCTTTCTCACTAAACACCTCTGCTAGATCCCGATACTCGCTGGGAATGAGTGGTTTGCCTGGCCTGGGAACGGCAGCTATTTTCGCTGGTTCTGCAAATGGCATAGGTCCTCCGGTAACATTAGAAGAGTCAAGAGGGGGTTTGGGACCTATAGGCAATCATACGGTCCTCATCCCCTTTTCCCACCAGATAAAAGGTCTCCACTTGTCTAACCAAGCTAGACCTAAAATCACAGCCTCAGTCATTTTTGGAGCCACCTCGAAACAGATGAACTCCCAATGTTCACCTATCTCTAAGTGGACAGGTTCTGTAAGATGGGTCACTAAAGTTCCTCCCATTAAAGAGCCATCTGCCTGTTCAAATCTCATGGGCTTCGAGAGCAATCTTGCTCGAATACCCAACTTAAGGGCAATTGGCAAGCTGATAACGCACCAAGAACATCCTGAGTCCACTAGTACTTTTAAATCCATTTGTACCCCTGTCTTTGGGACTATAATTTTGGCAGCAAGAGAAAAAGGCGGGATGGGTCAACTCACCATCGGGTTGTTCTCCCCTTTGTTGTCACTGTCGTAGGGGCGAGAGGTGGTGGGAGTCTCGGTCTGGTTCTCAGCCATCTCCTGTGTGGACGATGTGACTTGGGTGACAGATTCCTGCGCGATCCAGCTTGACTTCTCCTTTGCCGGCTGGTTTCTTTTTCCCCGGTGGGCCCGATCTACCCCACTGTTGGGGATAGGGGATCGGGCAATTCGTCGCTCGGTGACCCTGCTGGCCACATCTGAAGCATTTGATGGGTAGCCCAGCAGGTGGTTTAGGAGGTTTTGCGGTTGCGATGGCTGGGGGTCTCTGGGGCAGCGGTCGTCTGGTCTTCTCTGGTGTCATGCGGGTCTCTGGGGGGGTTGGCTTTTTATAACGAGCAAGCTCGATGTCTAGCCTCACTGCAGCCTGGTACCACTCTTGTAGTTGATCAGGGACCGCCTGGTAAATGCAGGCCTGGGAAAGGTGGTCATCTAGCCCCTCTTTAAGGTGATGCACTAGGGATTGCTCGGGCCACTTTTCAATTTGACCCGCTATCTTTCAAAATTCACGTACGTATTCCAATGCAGGTCTGCTGCCCTGCTTTATTTTGTGAATTTTTTTCTCGGCTTGGAGAGCTATGGATTGATCCTCGAACCTGGCTCTCAGTCCAAGAAGGAAAAGATGAAGATTTGTCAGTTCGGGCGCTTGCTCGTTATACAGATTGTTTAGCCACTCAGATGCTTCCCCTTCTAGATTGGCTGTAACAATGTTGACTATGGCAGCTGGGTCCGAGTAAAAGTTGACATTACAATTCATGTGTGAATGTACTTGATTGAGGAAAAAAATCAATTTTTCCTGATCACCATCAAAAGTTGCTTTAAAAGGTGGTGCCATCATAGGTTGCTGCCCCCCCCCCATTGTTGTTGCACTCTGAGCAGTTGGTGGCCTCCCAGGTGTGGTTGTGGCATCCCAGGCTGCTGCATGCCCCCCAGCGGCTGCTGGCCTCCCAGTGGCAGTGGTGGCATTCCTAACTGCTGCAGGCCCTCCAAAGGGTAGCTGGGGCATCCCCAGCTGCTGCAGGCCTCCTAGTGGTTGCTGGCCTCCCAGTGGCAGTGGTGGCATCCCCACTGCTGCAGGCCCCCCTACCTGTCGCTGGCTGTCCAACAGGTTGCACAGCTGCTGAATTAGATCGTGTTGAATGCCTGCCTTCGGGTCTTCCCTCTGCACTGGCCTCAGGCTCATGCAGCAACGACAATAAGGCTCGGGGCTGTATGACCGGTCATAGTAATAGTCAGGGCTCTGATGGTAGCAGTGACACCTCAGGCTCCAGTAGCGTGAGCTGTCATCGTAGTCTCGCCGTCTGGAGCTGTCACGACAGTGACGCCTCTCAGAAGATCACGATAAGCGACGCCGTTCGGGGCTTTTCTGGCGGCTGGGGCACTTGTGCCGAGAGTGGCGCTCAGGGGTTCTTGAAGATTGGCAGGGATCCAGACTACCTCAGTTCAAATGGTGGTCGGGAGTTTTCTTTCTCACTGGACTAGAGGTTAATGCAGGTGGTTTTGGGTGCAGGGAAGCCGCTTGTGCCCCCCCGACTGGACTAGGACCTCTCTTGGACACCGATTGATGATGATCCCGTTGATCGTTGTGCTCACTTGCATGTGAGGAGTGGGAGAGTTGTTCCCCGCTCCTCACCTCCAGTTTTTCAAACTTCTCTACCAACTTTTCTACTGATTGGCTTTGGTACTTCTACTCTCCCGAGTCCTCAGTAGTTGCTAGCCCCTTGGCTCCCCGGTGATCTGCGGAACACAATTCTCGAGAGGCCTCTGCTTGCAGGTCGGCCTCAGACACTTTCGTGGAGCTTGCCTTCAGCAGGGTTGCTCCAAGATGCTTGGACTCTCCACTGGGCAGGGTCCACTCCGAAGTCCAGATCAGCTCCGGTATCTTTGGTCTAGCTCCTGACTGTAAGGGTTCCAAACTTTTTTTCTCTGCCGATGTGATGGTTTGCGCTCCCTCCGCTGAGGCAGCCGCCCCGGCCAGGGTGCTGGTTACTTGTGCTTCTCCCTTCTCCATGCTGAGTTCTTCCCCGAGTCTTTGTCAGACTACTCTTTGGCTTTGGAAAGGTGACTGGCGCTCAGGACCCCAAGATGGTTAAAGTAGAAAGTTGTAGTTTTGGGTTAATGTCATGGTTCCGATAGATGAAACCCAGTAAAGAACTTCAAGGTAAGGAATCTTCCTTAAAGAACATTTTATTCAGTAAACAAAGTATCGGCACTACATAGTTGAACCCAAAACTAAACTTCCCCTGCCCAGACACAAAGTAATAAGTTGCAATTCCCACCCTCATTAGGCAGTCATAAATCACATTCTCCAATTAACTTAAAACACGGGCTTCTCTCCATTCTCTCAGCCCACCAAATGTTACCAGTTTGCATCCTTCAGTTCCCATGAAGCTGCACTATTGTTATGGCTAGCTGAGCTCAAGTATTCGCCCCATCCCCCTTCTATGTCTGTTTTCCTAATAAGCAAAGAAAGCAAGTTAAAAGCAAAGTAAAATGGCTGCAATTTCGCTCAGTGGTCATAACGGGAACATCCATTGTCACCGCTAGATGCACCCAAGAACTTTTGAAGCAGTTCTGTTGGGATGTTTTTGATCACCCCTCCCCCCCCTAAAGCCCAGATGTGGCGCCAAGCAACTACTAAGGGATTTCAAACTTTGTAAGATGTTATGACAAGTGCCTTAATTTGAATGGCGATTATGTCGAAAAGTAATGTAATGCTATAGTTTTCTAATGTGTATAATAGAAGTACTGTATCTGTGTCATTGATAATCAAACGGAGGTTTATTTCCAAATTGCCCTCGTATTTCC